CGCAGTGCCGGGCCGGTCCCGCGGGGCTCGGGGAGCCGGGCCAGGCCCGCGGGGCTGGGAGCCGGGCCGGGCTCGGGGAGCCGGGCCGGGCCCGCGGGGCTGAGGAGCTTTTTTCCAGTTGAGTTAAATAGGCCCTCTTCTTGAACATGTATTTGATGTTATATACTTGCTACAAACACTAGGGCAGGGGTCGGCAACCTTTCAGAGTGGTGTGCCAACTCTTCATTTATTCACTCTAATTTAAGGTTTTGCGTTCCTGTAATACACTTTAACGTTTTTAGAAGGTCTCTTTCTCTAAGTCTATAATCTATAACTAAACTATCGTTGTATGTAAAGCAAATAAGGTTTTTAAAATGTTTAAGAAGCTTTATTTAAAATTAAATTAAAATGCAGAGCCCCCCGGACCGGTGGCCAGGATCCGGGCAGTATGAGTGCCACTGAAAATCAGCTCGCGTGCCACCTTTGGCACACGTGCCATAGGTTGTCCACCCCTGCACTAGGGTAATGCAAGTATGCCTACTCCTAAGAATCATTTTTACTTGTTAATAGTTTAATTTACATCATTGAGGCAACTTGTATAAGTAAAGGTTTTCAAGAAATTGCTCTAAATAAGATGACAAGAAGGAGCATATCTAAGGGTATGTCTACACAGCAATGAAAAAAATCCACGGCTGGCTCATGCTAGCTGACTAGGACTCACAAGACTCAGGCTATGGGGCTGTATAAATTTCTAGGCTTGGGCTGGAGCCCACGCTGTGGGACCCTTCCCTTCTCCCCCCCGCTTTGCCCCCCCCTCCCCCCCGCCCACGGATCCTAGAGCCCAGGCTCCAGCCCAAGCCTGGAAGTCTACACAGCAATAAAACTGCCCTATAGCCCTAGCTCTCGAGTCTGAGTTGAATAGCATGGGCCAGCTGCAAGTGTCTATTGCTGTGTGGACATATCCTAAGGCTCTAAAGCCTTAAAGATGGTACTTATGGCTGGTAGAATCAGCATTTCAATGGCATACTGAACAGTCAGTACACACTGTATTTCAGTGGTACTAAACCTTTAAAAAAGGTAGGGCCACTTTATTTATGTTTCTGTTTTGGTTCATCTCTGTCATCTCCTCTACTGTCTTTCTATTCTCTTTCCTTTCCCAGTTGATTAAAAAAAAATAGACTGGGTGTTTTAATGCCTTTCTATTTTTTCCTCATTTTTTGCTTCTCAAGCCCCATAGATCACAAGGTACCAGGCTCCTCAGGTTGGTGGAACATATATTGGTGGCTCTTTGGTTTACTAAAATCAGCAATACCTTGCAGAGAAAACAAACCATGGATCAAATTTGTCTCCAAAATAACTCCCCTCTCCCCAGTGTTATACAAGGATTAATTAGGTTTAATAATTCAAAATTAGAAGCCATATTTTTCATTTTAAAATATGCTTGCATTTCTTCCCGTGACAGAGAAAAACAGAGAAGGGATGCAAACAGGAAACCATATACATATAAGATCATTGGAACAGTCAGCCTCGGGGAAAGACTAAAACATTTTAACATTTGGGTATTTTCTTCAGCATCAAGGTATCTATTTCCTTTACAATTTTTATGTGAATTGCACAAAATGCAAACAGAGAATAAAAATAAAATAAATACAGCTAAAAAGTTTAAAAAGTAAAGTTCAATATGATAATATACTACTGCTATGCCTCCCCTTTTTAAAAAAAAGATTAAGTGACCAAATTTGAACACATTTCCTTATGATGAGACTATGCCATTATATAATGTAATGGCTTTATAATTATCTCAACTTCTTAATACTAATATATTTCGGTATAAAATTTACTGACAGTGCAAAATTCAGGATAACCAAACACGTTTTGGGCCTGGGTGCCGTGGGAACAGATTAAATTTAAACAGGGTAAAGATAAAGCAAAGTATATTAACAAATAATCTGTGGAATAAGTGGGTACCTGGTCTGAGCCAATACAGTAAATCCTATGCAACATAGGAAGACTCTTCCCCCTGCCTTCCAATGTTATGAACGGTTTCAGAGTAGCAGCCGTGTTAGTCTGTATCCGCAAAAAGAAGAACAGGAGGACTTGTGGCACCTTAGAGAACAGCACCCCTCTTTAAGCACTTCATCCAAAATCCACTGAAACCAATGGAAAGACTCCCATGGACTTGAAGAGCAGGCTTATTTTGCCTTGGAAATAGAGTGGTTGGGTAGGGTTACCATACGTCCGGATTTTCCCGGACATGTCCGGCTTTTGGGGGCTCAAATCCCCGTCCGGGGGGAAATCCCCCAAAGCCTGGCATGTCCGGGAAAATCGGGAGGCTCGGCCGGGGCCTCTTTGTCCGGGGTC